AGCCCACAGCTGGCTGTCCCAGAAGAATCTTATTTTGATAACTTTTTCATCCCCGGGCTTGAGTGACCAGCTAAAGCCTCTAAGTCCTTCTATAAAGAAGGTTAGGAGCCCCCTAGCTTGGGCCATCAGGAGTCCATGTTCTTGGTGTTCCAGAACCTTTGTTCTCCCTGAAAAAAATATTTTTAAGATTTATTTTATGCCTCATGGCTTGGGCAGCTAATTCCTAACCATCTTTATTCTTTATTCTTTTGGGTTCAACCTCCTCATGTATAGCACAGGGACTAAACCAGTTGATCTCAGTGGTCTCATTGGTATGAATGGTAAACATTCCAAGGCCCACCCACTGGCCAGATAGTCATATGTGCCCCCTCACTCATTCACAGGCCAGTAGAGAAGCTTGACTGCAAGACTGCTGCCTTCCCTGGTTACTCTGTGGAGGGTAGCTCAGCACTGAGCCTCCTCTGGCCTTGTGTCCCTACAGTCCGCCGCTGTGGCAAACTCAATGCCCCAGAGAACGGTTACATGAAGTGCTCCAGTGATGGTGATAATTACGGGGCCACCTGTGAGTTCTCCTGCATCGGTGGCTATGAGCTACAGGGTAGTCCTGCCCGAGTCTGTCAGTCCAACCTGGCCTGGTCTGGCACGGAGCCCACCTGTGCAGGTATGAGTACAGCCCTCTACCCAGCCAGCGGCAGAACCTGAAGACCCTTGGGTTCTGGATTCCAGTACAGGGAGCGAGGACTTCATTCTGTACACTTTGAAAGGTTCAGCGCCATCCCTCTTTATCTGAGGAGGGAAAATGGTCCCTGAATCTGGGGCAGCTCATCTCATCCACCTTCCTCCTTTGCCTCTGTCCGTCTCCTGATTTCTCTCTCATGCCCTCTAAGGAAGAAGCTGGAGGTGGGAACCCAGGGCCTGCCATGAGTGACTTTGCAAATTAGCAAAGTCCGCCTTAGGTACCCTTAGCCTTCCCTTCTACAAATGTGAGGGTCTTTTTTGGCAAAGCCAGGATACTACTGAGTATGGACAGTATAATGCCTGCTTTGCAGCACTGGCTTGAAAGTCACACAGACCGTGGGCATTCAGGATGTTTCCTCCTCAGGTCAAATGAGGAAGACCATACCTTACCTACTACTTGAGTTGTCGTAAGGAGTAAATGAGGTCATCCATTGAACAGTGGACTAGAGCAGTGCCTGTCACAGGGTAAGGGCTCAATGCATGTCCGCTCTTATTACCAAGGAACACAGATTGGGCTGGGTAATGATAATGGTGTGAAATTTGGACTAGCCAGAAGATTCTGGGCATATCTTTTATTTATATACTCCACTTCTCCTCCCCCCACCCTGCATTTCCTGGTACTTTCTCATCTTTATGCTTCCTTTTAAACCCCAGCCATTCAGAGTTGGGTGAGAGAGAGACACATGTAGACCATCAGCTAAATGCCCAGTGTTCTTCAGTTTCATACGTTAAGGTACAAATAACTTCCTGAGGCAGGGAGAGTAATGCCCATCCTCCAAAGATGTTCCACAGCCTAATCCCTAGAACCTGTGACTATATTACCTATAATAATATATTACCTGCATCTATTACCTGAATAATATATTACCCAAATATATTACCTAGGACCTGTGAATATAAAGGGGACTTTGCAGAGGTAATCAAGGATTTTGAGATGGGGAGGGTAGCTTGGATTTTCCAGGTGGGCCCAATGTAGTCACAAGGGTCCTTATAAGGGGGAGGCAGAGAAAATGATGGAAGCAGAAGGTGGAGAGGAGAGAGGTGAAGATAGCACGCTGCTGACTTCCAAGATGCAAGAACGGCCATGAGCCTGGAAATGAAGGTGGCCTCTAGATGCTGGGAAAGGCAAGGATACAGGTTCTTCCCTAGAGCACCGGGGGGAATGCAGGCCTGCAACCCTTTGACTTTAGCCCAGTGAAACTGATTTTAAACTCCTGATTGCCAGGACTGGAGGAGAATTTGGTTGGTTAAGCCCCTACAATTATGGTGCTCTGGGATAGCTGTAAGAAAAAAACTGATATACTTCCCCATTCCCCAACCCCGTGCTTCTTGGGACCATCTCCCACATGAACCACTTACAGGTGAAATTTTATCTTGGGGTTTACTTCTTGATGCATACACTTCTGTAGGTTATCACAGGCTAGGTTGAGCCAGGACAAGCAGAGACTTTCTCACGCATCTGGCCATTTCTCATTCCAGCCATGAATGTCAACGTGGGTGTCAGAACAGCAGCGGCACTTCTGGACCAGTTTTATGAGAAAAGGAGACTCCTCATTGTGTCCACACCCACAGCCCGGAACCTTCTATACAGGCTGCAGTTGGGAATGCTGCAGGTGAGTCCTTGCAGCAGGGTAAAGGTGAGGGGGAGACCTCTCACAGGAAGGGCTCAGTGATTTCATTAAAAGCAAAGGCCAGATTCAGTGCCTCATCTAGTTACCACGAACTTCAGGAACTGGCACTTTCGAGCTATCTCCATTCATTTCTGGGTCTGGGGCATAACCTGCTTAACCTGGACTCCCAGAGCTAACCCACTTGTTTTCCAACTAATAAGGTTTGTCTTCGCTAGTAAGCCTCATTCACCTGCCATCCAGAATAGTTGTCTTTGTTGAACCTGTCCAGGATATGCCTATGCTGGAGGTCATCATTCAGTTGTTTGCCCAAAAGGAATGAGGGGAGTCCAGGAGCCCTCAGGCCCCAGATCCTGCTCCAGGGAGCTTCCCCAAGTCTCTTAGAGTTCCTCAGAGAATGATGGCTCTCTTTAAGAACAGTGGTTCTCAAAGTGTGGTCTGTGGACCAGCAGCATCCGCATCGCTTGGGAGCTTGTTAGAGATACAAATTCTCCCCCATCGCAGACCTACTGGGTCTAATCTACATTTTAACAAGACCACCAGGTGATTCCTAAGCAACTGAAAGTTTGAGGTACACTTTTCTAGAAATGTGCCTTTCTCCGTGATGTAAATTTTGTAGCTACAAAATGAGGCAAGCAGGGTCTTCTGAAAACAAACAAACAAACAAACAAACAAACCAAAAACCAGAAACAGAAAAGGATAGAAGTAGATCTTGCTAGATGTTGTCCAGAAGCTGCTATGCAACAAGAATGGCCAACCTGACTGAAAGCTAAGGAGGCAGAATGTTATGCTGGGTCATGGACAATGGTGCTTCACGTTTTTGTTTTTGTTTTTGTTTTTTTTTTTTTCATTTTATTTTTTTTATTTTTTTTTTCAGTATATGAAATTTATTGTCATATAACAATAACATACATGGATGGAATATAACAATTCCATACAACACCCAGTGCTCATCCCAAAAGGTGCCCTCCTC